GAGGGGGGTGAATAGGGGTATGCAAATCCGCCGATCCGTGGTATTTTTAGGCCCGATCCGTCGATCCGACTTAATTTTTGTTCAAATCCGAATCCGTGTTACTTTAAAAATTTTTTCTGGTATATAGAAAGTAGCGTTGTAGCATGAAAAAATGAATTGCTTAATATAGTTGTTCTGTAATCACAACAGATGCGGGCCTTCATGTTTAAAAAGTTTTCGTTACAGCTTCAAAACATTAAGCATTAGGGACAGAGTTTATAATGTTTCTTCCAAAAATACAGATTTGACTAATAAAATAGTATACAAGCGTGCAAAATGAAAGTATCAGGTATTTACTTACTGACATCGCTTTGGACATGCTTCTAGTCGAGCCGCAAAATTCGGAAGAGGCAAAACTCAACTTCATGGTAATTTGCTTACCAGTAAGTATTTTCCATGGTTCATCTTGGAAGTCTTGAGATCTTGAGATCTTTTTCACACAAAAATGTTCCCACTTAGTGGCAACAGACTGGTAAAAGGGTTAGCCGGTGCAGATACAGAGTTTTATTTACTCGTAGTTTGTTTTGTACTCAATGATCGTCAATCCTAGCATTAAATATAAGGAGCAAAATCCAGTATATCATTTCACCGATCAATTTGTAAATTTGATTTTTTAATAGTTCATGAGTCGCCGTCAATCCTAGCATTAAATCTGAGGGCCCAAAAATCCAGTATAACAGTCTAGCGGATGTGATTACGGAAAATAACTCTCATCTTACGAAGTGAATGTGGGAAGCGCTGTGGGCTAATGGTTAGTGCGCTGGACTGTGGAGCGGACGGTCCGAGTTCGAGCCCTGGCCGGGGCACGGCGTTGTGTTCTTGGGCAAGACACTTTACTCTCCACCCAGGTGTATAAATGGGTACCGGCGAAATAATGCCGGGGGTAACCCTGCGATGGACTAGCATCCCATCCAGGGGGGAGTAGAAATATTCCAAGCTGCTTAATGCTACGGAAACCGGGATAAGCTCCGGCAGTATGGGCCACTTGGCACGAAGCTTTACCTTTTACGAAATGAGTCTGTTGTTTATTCGAACTTGTCTCCCAAAGCGAGTGGAAACTCCAACAAGAAAGGTTGATGCCCTGTCTAGTTCCAAAACAGCAGCACCTTCCTCGACTTGCTCTTCATCAGAGCTGCTGTCATACTCTGGTATCTCGTCAGTATCACTGATAGCTGCGTTTTCAATTTCATCATTGCACGTTGGTGTATCTGTTGATGGCATCGATGATCTACGGCCTATACCTGTTGAAACATCTACCTTGTCTGCAGATATCTCTAGTTGCCTTTGGTAGATAAGCTCAGGCATTGTTCCATGCCGTGCCATAGTGGTTTCTTGGCGGTTGGTTCTCTGCCTCACAGCAGCTCCATACGTCAATGCATAATCTCGCATTTGACCGATTTCCTTTTGGGACAGTTTTACGTCTGGAAGTGGAGGAATGGAAGGTAGTGCAGAGAGCGGGATATCGTGCTCTGGCTCTGGATACCACGAGCTCTTTTCGCTGGTGAAGTAATAAAACGAGGAGCAAGAGAGCCGCTTTGTAGTCTCCTTGACGGTGTTTCCAAAGTCTCGGCAATATTCTTTTTTGGAAAGAAATGGATGTTTTACATGAGACGTGGAATGAAAATGTTCAACATCCAAAGTCATACAGCTAAGGAGACTTGTGTCATCGAACGACAGACTGGATAAGAGAGACTTCAGTCTTCGTACACCCCAGTCAAGAAGGTCAACCGATTTCACAGTAACAGCGGAAACCATCCCCTGTGGTCCATTAAGCGATATATTGGAACAACCGTCTTCAGAGCGCACGGCTCTTTCCAGCTCAGAAAGGAAGCGTTTGCACTCTGTGATCCTGCTCTCACAAGAAGGTCAACCGATTTCACAGTAACAGCGGAAACCATCCCCTGTGGTCCATTAAGCGATGTATTGGAACAACCGTCTTCAGAGCGCACGGCTCTTTCCAGCTCAGAAAGGAAGCGTTTGCACTCTGTGATCCTGCTCTCAGCCTCTTGCAAGGTTCTTGTTTGGACACTCTGACCTTTCTTATGGACAGAAAATGCGTCGTACAACTTTCCTATCGCACTTAAAAACTTGGCAGTTTGGGAGAGGGGCGTCATCACTTTAACACAATTTGACTGTGGATCACACATGTAGACAACGCTGTCAAACTCCACGGCAATTCCCATTGGTTGCTTGAACTTGCATTCTGCGACAAGTCCATCAAGAGAACCTTCTGTTTCACTGCCAGCAAATATATGAATATTTTCCTCTTCGTCGATCTGGTAGAGGGTCGCTTTTTGTTGATCGGTAAAGAGAGCACCATTTTTGAAGGGCACCACCGTGCATTTGGCATGATTTGACCTGTAGACAACATGGCACTGATGCGACTCAAGACACACCACAGATATTCCTTCAGCGTGTGAAGCAAATAACTTGTTGCGGCAAACGCAAACACTGGTGACACATTCCCAGCCCTCGCCATACCCTATTACTTCCTGGACATTTGTGGCACAGATTCCATAACCATCATATTTAAGTTGGGCGCTTAAAATTCTCTTTGAGCTTGCAGCCGCCAAGTACATAAGCTCGCGGTCAATCAGCGTGATTGCCTGAATGTGGTCCTGCATGGCTTTGTCATGGAAGTTTATTTGCTCCCTGTCGTGTCCATTCGTCGAATACTCCTTCTCTTTGCTTTGTAGGAAACGATCAGCTTGCTTGCGAATTTCAACCAAAGTTCCAGTCATTGTCAGGCTAAACTGTTGCTTCAGCTCGTCCCATCTCTTTGATGATGTTATCTTGCTTGGTTTAAGGTAACAGTTGTTTTTTTCAAGCTCGACCACTAACACAGGACCATCCTGTGAAGAAAGGAATGCTACATCTTGAACACATTGCACCTGATTTGAAGGGAGATTCTTTTTGACAACTGATATCTTGTCAACAGGGCTGTGCAGACGAGCACGATGAAGGATTGAAGAGCCCTGCTTGCTGTCCCATGTCAGAAACAGCAGCCATCCGTACTTTCCGACGGCAACACTTATAGGGCTGGGGTACATCCCAAGACGGTTGTTTTCCGTGAACTTGTCCAGCTCCGGAATGATTGTGTGGCATACATAACCTACGTTAGATAGAAACGAGGTTAAATCTTCTGAACATAACGTCATTACGGCAGCTGGATCTTGCCGGTCCTTGTTCTTTACGTGATCGTTCCGTTGAACAAGTTTCCTCATTGTGGTCATAGTGGCACTACCGGCACGATTCCTAAGGGTACGAAGCAAGCCAAGGTTGCCGCGCTCATTACATAACTTAAGCCACCAGTTACTAAAGGAGGCCTTTAAGCTTTTTCCTACGTGGGGACAGTCGGGCAAAATGGTTAGGAGAGAAAGATAAGCATCTATTGTTCCCTCCTCGATACTCTTTCGTATTAGTATAAAAGCCCCTTTGTTGCCTGTTTCGCAATCCGCCACAATAACAAATATTACTCTCCTTACACACTGCGCACCGTTCTCAAGGCACCATGAGCAAGCACGAATTGCTGGATGGTAGCTTACATGACCTTTTGCTTTGCACTCTTCGCACACATCTTTCATACCAAAGCATGTTTCACAAAAGCTTTGGCACTGTTCATAGCAATGCCCGAGAATGTGCTTTGTGGCGAGAGATCTCTTTTGACAAGCCTCGCACGTCTGCAGGATTCGTACTTGCTTTTCGAACATTTCCTTGCAGGATTCTGCAGTCTTTCCTGCTTTTGTTGCGTACTCTATAGCGCACGGTAGACTACATTTGTTATCAAGACTGGTCACAGAGGAAACGATGGCCTCGGTAACCAAGTTATCTTTAAGAAATGCAGTTGTAGGTTGGGGATTACTTTTGACAAAGTCAATTTTTAGATTTCTTGTTAATCCCACATTTTCCTTAAGCCTTTCGTCAAACTCGATAGCTGGTTTAAGCGCGGTTCCATCGTTGGCCAAACAGCAGGGATATGCAATTAGCTCATCCGTTTTGAGAACTGGAAGGGAGTTAAGTATTTGTAATAGACTTAGATGGCCTAACGACAGCGGTTTCCAGACTCCAGGTTCGTTTGTGTAGCCAGCTTGATGTTTGAGGCATGTCTTATATGCGGGTCCCCCGAGATTCATCCTCTTTTCGTTGTTGGTGTTGAGATGACTTCCTCTTCCTTCCTTGCAGTTAATGGGGCCTCTAATGAAGCAAGCGACTTTCCTCCCTCCGAGATAAGTAATGGAATTAAAAAATTCGATAACATCCTTATCATACTTGTGCAGAGGATCGTAATAAACTTCAAGCACATCTTTCAAATATATATATAAAATATACGAGACTTTTCAATCTTTCCTCTGCGGATTAAGTCATTTAGTTTTACGCATACCGGGTCTGCTGACTCAACACCGTAAATGAAGGAGACACTGTCATCTTTGTCTATCTCGCTATCAGAGTTGCTTTCATTGCCAGACCTGTCAGTCGAGTCACTTCTTTCCTCCTCACTTTCTTCGAGGGAGTATTGAAGGGATTTGTTACTACCAACACTGTCATCGCTATTAGATTCAATGTCACTTTCATTTTCCCCAAATGGTCTACAATTGAAGAAAGAAAGGCAACGAAATTACAACACAGAACGTTTAATAAAAATGCATTTTACTTGATATTAAACAAGCAAAATCTTGTCTATTCGTAGTTTCTTTATCTTTATCAAACGATAGTAATATACAACTAGAGCTATAAGTTAGAAAGAAGTTACACGGATACTAAATTAAGTATTGTGATTGCTAGACTTTAACTTAACCTTATAAGTTTACTAATAACTGAAAGTAGTCCTTGTCCTACTTTTTAAATAAAGTTTCATCTAGAATAGTTAAGACATAGCTATTACATAAAATGTGCCAAAATTGCTATTACACGATCGACTAGCAACTGAACAGGTTTGATTAGTTATTCGGTCTCCATTCATAACCACAAAATCATTTTAACAGACACTGTAAGTTATTCTTCAATCAGATCGTGGATCGCTTAAAAAGGTCATTTAAGATCTTAATACTTTTGAACCTCATTTTTGAAATGAATTATTGATAAGAAGTTCATAATAGAAGAATCTCCCACTAAATACTGAGTACTGGTGACATAAACTGATAGTGAAAGGTATTATGTAAAACATCAGGAGAAACGGGACAGCTCAGTTTGTAACTTATTTTGCATTATAAACAACTTGTGAGGAAAATTATAAAGTTAGGTTAAGTTTTGACTATTCCGCTGATAACTTTTCTGAGAGAAGTCCCATTTCTTCAGGTTTCAGTATATTTACTCCAGGTCAGAGCTGTCGACGTCCGAGTCTTGCGAGGACTTAGCCTTTTTTCTTGGTTGTTGATCTGTAAGGCAAACCACCTCTCCTTCTGACGTCGTAGGATCACTCGTAGGAGCCTTTCTCTTGTTGGTAAAGCTTAATTTAGACTGAGTACACTTTTTAGTTTTCGCAGAGCTCTCCTTGCAGCGGCTGTAATGTGCTAAAAGAAAGAAAAGGAGCAAAGCTCGGTATTAGGCTCTATTTATGGCCGATAGGAGTCAATTATGTAAGAGTTCAAAGTACCCGCATGAGCTACATGGACTACACGACGAGCTAATCCAAACACCAGTTGTGTTGAATTACGTTTTGACTTACACCAGGTTAGTTAGGTTTATTTGCGTTTTTTTTTTTGAAAATTTGTTTCCTTCTGGAAAACTGGAGAAAAGAATATATGCTGTTATGCAACTTAGATAGACATGTAAACATTTAATCACCTAAAATTTGCATCGTTGTGTAATTTTTCTTTTGCGTTTTTTTTGACAACTGCGCTTGCGCAGAAGTCACTATTGCCATCGTCTGAAGTTTCCGAAAGTAAGTAAGTAACAACAGAATATGGTTTGAGCGCAACAAGCGTATATCTTGTGATCGTAGGCTTCAGAGGGGGAGAAGGACAATCCCCCAAAATTCTGATGAATAGTGGGAAATTATACATTGTATTTTTTNTGAGAAAAGTATGGAATATAAAAAAAAGAATGGTTTGGGGATATAAGTGGTGTATTTTGGGGGTGTGGGCTTAGAAGGGGGGAAATGAAAGAGCCCCAAAAATTATATGAATAGTTGGAAATTATACAATTTATTTTTTCTCCATCTAAATAGGCTGTGCCAACACCCCCCCCCCCCCTCCCCCCTCAAAAGAAATCGGAAGCAATAGTCACATGGGCCTGTGCGGTGCCTATTTTGTACTTTTCCTTTAGGTAATAATATGTATACATTGTGGAAATATCAACTTAATTGTCGTTGTCGTTGATGTATATAAAATAACCTACCCAACTTAAATTTCGAAATGATTCCACTGTGCTTACGATCAATGTCCACCCGTCTTTCAACTCCACATAACCCGCATTTGATGTGAAACGGCCATGTCACTAATTGGCCTTTGTACTTAGCAATAGTTTTTGTGGACGACAAAACAACACTGCTTCCATCAAGCTTTTGAAGATCTGTATAACATAAAACCGTGCTATCAATAAAAGATAAATTTCTTGCTGCCTACACTTTATTTTCCCACAACTATACTTTAAAAAATAGTGTGGTCAAAATCAAGATTCTGCATAGATTTACATTAAACTCTGATTATAACTACTGCTCGCTCCCTGCTCTCACTCCGCAGCAATAATTTGAAACTTAAACGTACCGATGTTAAGCTTTCCAAGCTCATCGTCAGACAAGGTCTTTGACATCGGTAGCGTAGCTGCGCTGGACGACGCTTTAGGATTTGTGTTACCGGAAGTGTTCCTGTAGGACCTGTCGCCGTCTTTTGTGGTAATTCTAATAATTGGTGTTTTCGTGGAGAACACTAATTTTACTGGATACACCATGACTATTAATAGAAAAAATTTTACAGTTAGTTTGAAGCTTTCAAAGGGTATGGCTCTAAAATCGTCTTAATGAGCACGGTTACACATGCTTACCCATCAACTTGTCCACGCCATTTAAAATCGATGGCATCTCTCTTGACGGCCAGATACTCGGGAGCCTCTGTTCAACTTTATAGCGATGCTTTCTCCTAGCCCCAGCTCTTTTGCAGTTACGTGCAGCCCAGCAAAAGAACTAGAACATTAAATCGGCAAAACAACTAACTTGACGATTTTCAAGAAGATATTTGTCAGTAAAATGGAGCTGCCGTTAGCGGGAAAACGTAGAAGCATTTGTATGAAAACTAAAAGTAAGACTTCTCGCTTCTCAGCGAACCGATGCCCTTCAAACTTAATTGGTTAACTGTTTTACTAGTATCTTTCGTTGGTAAATCATAAAAATAACAGAATGTCAACTTTCCTCAAAGATCCTCAAATTATAGAGCATCAAACTCCCGACTTTTACCATACAGTTATTATAAATTTTGCCGTGTTTGCCCTCAACCAAGATGGCGACAGAAACCGTGAAAAGGTCTATTAAGTTAACGATCAAGACAAGCAAACTAGCTGAAATAGCTTCGAAGAACATAATTTATATCAGTTCGTGTATAAACCAAATATAAAACTTACCGAACGTGCTCGCGTAGTTTCACCACACTTCCCCACTGACTGGAATTGACGCAGCATCGGAACTTATTTTTTTGAATGAAGTCATCGCCTTTGGCACCTTCGTGGTAGAAAAAGGCTACACACTCGATAGTTCTAGTTTCCATTTTGCAATTTAGACAATTTACACGAACGCATTCACAGATCTTGTCAGGTCACTTAGCATTACCGCCATTACCTGAACCATGTGTCACCTTGGAGGAACCATGCACAAGGTTGCCTGACGTCATTTCGGTCACGCTGTCTACACTAGAATACATGTATATGCGTCGGGTCACGAGAAAGTCTCTTCCGGAAACCTCGGAAGTGGAAACGTTAGCCGACAAAACACCAGCGCATTGACCAAGGCCGACCGAAAATTGATGATCCGATCCACAATCCGAACTTCTACACAGACAGAATCCGGAAACCAGGCCAAAACTTTTAGCTGATCCGCGATCCACGGTATTTTTCAAATCCGCGAATCCGCTCGATTTATCGCCGAAATCCACAATCCGTGAGCTTTTTAAGGCCAAATCCGCCGATCCGCGGACCTATTCACCCCCCTCGTCTATGACGCAGGCTTTAGAAACTTGTCACAAATTTTCGCCTCGGCTGTACTGATGAATTTTTTTTTTTATCATCGTAGATTTTTGGAATAACTCGGACACAGAATCTGAAGTGGATCTACAACTGAGCACCGGTGGATTTGATCAAGACGATGATGACGATTTTGATTTTTACGGGTAACTGACAGGATACACGAAACACACGTCTCAGGTGTCGTTACTCGCCTGTTACACACGCCAACACAGTGACGTGACAGCCGCTCCTAGGTATTCACTCATCAGTCCTATGGTTCCTGTAAAATAGTTGAACTGCACGATAAAATTACAAGATAGAAAAAATTGTATTGATTAGATAGTTTGCTTTTTAGTCTTGTACACCATATCCTCAATTTTAAAATCCTTTTAGCATTTTATAAAGTGTTTGATGCTAGCGATTATAGCTACAGCTACAATCATGGACGAACGTCTTGGGAGAAATTTGCATTCGAGGAGCATATTTTAAAGCTACACATGCGTATCCACAATTTTCCAAACCTTCAACATTGTATAGGGTGAGTAGGTGCATAGGAGGGACTGCTAGGCATTTTTTTCTTAAAAGCACTGCTTTAAGGGCCCCCTGACCTATCTTTCGCGCACTGCTAAGAAAAAGCATCTTACTTCCGTTAACTTTCTGGCCAAGGAGCTACCCAGCTACCCACCTCCCCCACCCCCTCCTCGACGGAACAGTATTGTTTTGTAACGTACAGCGGCTTATTTTATGTGAATTGAGACAATAATAACATCCCCACGAAAAAACAGTGATTAAAATGCTAAATGTCAAGATTGTAGTCATTGTCGTTTCTGGGCACGTGATTATGGGTGTGGTCCGATAACGTCATTTTTACATAAGTATCTCACTCACAAGTACTGTGCTGTAAAATGGCTAATCTACTAATAAGGGAGTCTAACTATTATACCTTCAGAATTTTCCTCGCAGTAGCCCAAAAAAATAGGTCAGTGTACCACGGCGGTGGTAATGACTGCAGTTCCAAGGACTTTTCG